CTCCAGACAGAGAATCATTATGGAAACATGAGACTTAAACTACACTTTAGGCCAAATGAACCTAATAGAAATATACAGAACATTCTGTCCAATGGCAGTAGAATACACATTATTCTCAAGTGCACATAGAACTTTCTCCACAATAGATCATATGTTAGATCACAAAACAAGTAAACAAATTTAAGGAGATTAGAATCATACCACATATTCCTTTCAGATTATAATTGTATGAAACTAGAAATCAATGACAAGAGAATATTAGAAAATCCACAAATACATAGAAATTAATCAACATGCTCCTGAACAATCAATGAGTCAAAGAAGATATTAAAAGATTAATTTTAAAAAACTCAAAACTAATGAAAATGGGCACACTAACATAACAATAACTTACAGTATGCAGCAAAAGTGGTTCTAAGAAGGAAACTTTTAGCAATAAATACTTACATCAATAAAGAAGAAAGATATCAAATAAGCAACCTAACATTATACCTCAAAAAAATAGACAAAGAAGAAAAGAAAAACTAACCCAACAGTTAGTAGAAGGAAAGAAATAATAAAGATCACAGCAGAAATAGTGAAGTCGAGACTAGAAAAATGATAGAAAAAAGAAATAAAACTAATATTGGTTTTTAAAAAGATAAAAAATGACCAACTTTTAACTAGATTAAGAAAAACGAAGAAAACTCAAATAAAATCAGAAAGAAGAGACATTTCAATAGATATTACAGATGTACAATCATAAGAGACTACTGTGAACAATTATATGTCAACAAATTAGATAACTTAGAAGAAATTAATGAATTCCTAGAAGTGAAAAACCTACCAAGACTGACTCAGAAAGAAATAGAAAATCTGAACAGAGCAATAATAAGTATAAGATTGAATCAGTAATAACAAGTCTTTCATCAACAAAAAGCCCAGGACCTAATCATACCTGAATCACTGCTGAATCACACCAAACATTAAAAGGACTAACACCAATCCTCCTCAAACTCTTCCAAAAAGTTAAAGAAAAGGGAATGCTTTCAAGTTCATTTTATGAGGACAGCATTATGCTGATATGAAACACAAAAAAGATTACTGTAAGGAAAGAAAATTACAGGCAATACCCCTGATGAACATATGTGCAAAACTCTTCAACAAAATACTAGGAAATGGAATCCAACAGAACATTAAAAGGATCATTCACCATGATCAAGTGGGAATTGTCCCAGGAATGCAAGGATAGTTCAACATACACAAATAAATAAATGAAAGGATAAATGGATGATAAAAATGTGTGTATACATATGTGTGTGCATCTGTGTGCTATATACACATTGTTATATGTATATATATATATACACACACACACATATACACATTGTGTATATGTCTGTATACAAAACACAGCCTTAATATTTTCAGCCTTAATAAAGAAGGAAATCCTGCCTTTGCATCAACATGGATGAACCTGCAGGACATTATGATAAGTGAAATAAGCCGGATGCAGGAAGGAAAATACTGTGTAATTCTCACTTACATGTGGAATCTAAGAAAGTTGAACTCTTAGAAACGGAGTAGAATGGTGATTACCAGGGCTGGGGAAGGGGGAAATGGAGGGATATTGATCAAAAAATACAAATGTGCAGTTTTTCAAGATAAATAGGTTCTGGAAATCTAATGTACAGAATAGTGACTACAGTTAAAAATACTGTATTGCATACTTGAAATTTGCTAAAGGAGTTGATCCTAAGTGGTCTTACCATGTACACAAAAGTATGTGAGATGATGGCTATTTTAATTAGCTTGATTATGGTAATAATTTCACAATGTATATTTCTATTAAAACATTACATTGCATATCTTAAATATATATAATTTTTGTCAAGTGTATCTCAATAAAACTGGAAAACATAATTGAAGAGTAATGGAAAAAATTAAAAGCTATTATGTGTCAAAGGACATTATCAGCAAAGTGAAAAACAACCTACTGATGAAGCAAACCTATTAACAAAGGCCTGGTATCCAGAATATATTAAAATCTCTAGGCTAGGCTCAGTGCCTGACACCTGTAATCCCAGCACTTTGGGAGCCCAAGGTGGGAGGATCACTTGAACCCAGGAGTTCAAGGCTGCAGTGAGCTATGATTGGGTCACTGCACTCCAGCCTGGGTGACAGGGTGAGACCACCATCACTTAACCCATTTCTTGTTTAGAAAAAAAAAGGTGCAACAGTGCAGCTCACTGCCAGCACAGTATTCTTTGAGCAAAGAAGAAGAGAAATGGGGGGGAAAAAAAAAAACTCTTATAATTCAACAACAAAAAGAAAAACAAGAGTGTAAAGAGACATTTTTCCAAAAAAGATATACAAATAGCCAACAAGTGAAATGATGGTTAACATCATTAGTCATTAAGAAAATGCCAATAAAATCATAATGAAATAAGACTTCATACACATTAGGATGTCTACAATTTAAAAAATAGAGAATAACAAGTGGTGGTGAAGATGTAAAGAAATTAGAATCCTGTCCATTGTTGGTGGGAATGTCAAATGGTTCAGCCACAGTGGAAAACAATTTGACAGCTCCTTAAAATGGTAAACATAGAATTACCATATGATCTAACACTTCTACTCCTAGGTATATAGATAAAAAATTGAAAACAAGTACCCAGATACCTTGCATGAGAAGGTTCATAGCAGCACTATTACAAAAGCCACAAGTTGGAAACAACCCAAATGCCAATCAATAGATGAGGGGATAAACAAATTGTGGTTTATAGAGCCACAAAAGGGAATGAAGCACTGGTATATGCTGCATGGCTAAACCTTGAGAGCAAGGGCTGGGATAGGGGATGGGAAGTAATAGCTTACCAGGTACCGCATTGTATTTTGGGGCGATGAAAATGTTTTGGAACTGGATGGAGGTGGTGGTTGTCATGTACTACATAAAACTAATTGTTCACTTTAAGATGGCTAATTTTCTTGTGAGAATTTCTCAATTATAAAATACCTTCCATGTATTCTTTCTAAGGATGACACTAGATTTCATTGAGTATCAGATACAGAGATTTGCTCTGGCAAAATGAAGAAGTAATTTTTTGAAAAAGGACGATATGGGATTCAAGATATGGGGGATCAAATGTCAGAGAAGCAAGGGGATCTTCTGGATGACAGTCCATGGAGATCCCATGACAGCTGGACAGCAGTCCGGCCGTGTACCCAGGACCGGCCAGAGCAGGGATGATGGCTCCCGAGAAGCTCTAAGAACACCGCTAGATGGCCTAATGGGTTTGCGGGCATATTGAAAAGGTTTATAAAACTGAGAACTTGGAGTAGAATTAGAAAAATGACATAAAAGCTTACAGAAAAGAAAATAATGAATTCTAGGGAGAAATATAAAAGTATACTACATGCCTCAGTTATAAATAGCATTTTCATAGTCATGAAGAAATATGAACACAGAATATTTACATCAAAATTACAATATAATTACATAATTAGGTACATATAGCAAAAGGATGTGTGTGTATATGTAGTATGTATGGTGTTTGTGGTGTGTGCGTGGTATGTGCACGGTGTGTGTGTATGATGTGTGTATGGTGTGAGGTGTGTGCAGTGTGTGTGGCGTTCATTGTGTGTATGTGTGTATACAGTGTGGTGTGTAGGTGGTTATGTGGTGCATATGGTGTGTCTGTGAGAGTGTTGTGAGTGTGTAGTATGTGTGTGAGGTGTGTGGTGTACGTGGTGTATGTGTGCATAGTATCTATATGGGGTGTGTGGTGCGTAAGATCCATGTGGTGTGGTGTGTGTGAATCTGTGTTGTGCATAGTGTGTTGTGTGGTATATGTGTATGCATCGTGTCTGTGGTGTTATGTGGTGTGTGTGTGCATAGTATACATGGGATGTGTGTGCATGTGGCATGTGTGTAGTGTGTGGTATGATGCTGATGGTGCATTAAACGGAGTTAAATCCTAATATTCCCAGCTGGGAAGTCTATAGGTGTGTTAGTCCGTTCTCACATTGCTATAATACCTGAGACTGGGTAATTTATCAAGAAAACAGGTTTAATTGGCTCACAGTTCTGCAGGCTGTACAGGAAGCACAGGCTTCTACTTCTGGGGAGGCTCTGGGAACCTTCCAATTATGGCGGAAGACAAAGTATGAGTAAGACTCAGATGACGGCCGGGCGCGGTGGCTCATGCCTGTAATCCCAGCACTTTGGGAGGCGGAGGTGGGAGGATCACGAGGTCAGGAGATTGAGATCATCCTGGCTAACACGGTGAAACCCTGTCTCTACTAAAAATACAAAAAATTAACTGGGTATTGTGGCGGGCACCTGCAGGGAGGCTGAGGCAGAACCCGGGAGGCCGAGCTTTCAGTGAGCCGAAATCGCACCGCTGCACTCCAGCCTGGGTGACAGAGGGAGACTCCGTCTAAAAAAAAAAGAGAGAGAGGAAAAAAAAAGATTCAGATGGTGGGAGCAGGAGCAAGGTTGGAGGAGGCACCACACACACTTAAACAACCAGATCTCCTGAGAACTCACTATCAGAACAGGACGAGGGGATGGTGCTAAACCATTCATGAGTGACTGCCCTATGAGCCAATCACCTCCCATCAGACCCCGCCTCCACAGTAGGGATTACAATTTGACATGAGATTTGGGCGTGGACACAGATCCAATTCGTATCAATAGGTAATGATTAAAACTGAAAAAAGAAGTACCAGGGTCAGAAAGTTATTTGAAGAGTTGAAGGTAAATGCCAATAGGATCAGTTTAAAGAGTCGGAAGTGTTTGCCTCAGGAGAGAAGGAGTCAAGCTTTTTTATAGAGCTTTTTGACTCTTTAAACTATGCACATACATAAAGTTGATTTTAGAAAACTAAAAATTTTAAAACGTTCCAAACAGATTGGATGAGTAGACACTTCATCATCACTGTGGCTGAGGGAGATTGGGTCAGAGAAGAGAGGATGAGACCAGGAAGTTCCAGGAATTGAGGAAAAGTTGAAATGACGAAATGTTCACAATTGTTAATGGCAGGTTGTGGGAAAGTTGGTAAGTTGCTTCAGTGTTTGTTCACTCTGTACTTTTTCATACATTCAACATTTCTTAAATTAGTATAAAAATGAACTATGTAATCAGCTACAGAGTTGAGGGTGTGGAGCTCACCCAGGGCAGCTGAGCTACCGGTGTAAAATGAACGGTATTTTCAAAAATGACTATTAGAGGAATTAACAGAACGAGGACACCCTAGTCAAGGGTTGATAAGAAAGGACCCCAGGGTTGGCAGGGCGCGGTGGCTCAAGCCTGTAACCCCAGCACTTTGGGAGGCCGAGACGGGCGGATCACGAGGTCAGGAAATCGAGACCATCCTGGCTAACACGGTGAAACCCCGTCTCTACTAAAAAAATACAAAAAACTAGCCGGGCGAGGTGGCGGGCACCTGTAGTCACAGCTACTCGGGAGGCTGAGGCAGGAAAATGGGGTAAACCCGGGAGGCGGAGCTTGCAGTGAGCTGAGACCCGGCCACTGCACTCCAGCCTGGCAACAGAGCCAGACTCCCTCTCAAAAAAAAAAAAAAAAAAAAAAAAAGAAAGGACGCCAGGGCTCTGTCTCAGCTCTCCTGGCCACACCTGGAGGACATGGGCTTCTCCAAGGTCACACTTTCAGGAAGTGTTGATGAAGGATATGGAGACACCTGAAGCTCTGGGCGCTGCATGATCTGAGAAGAGAAGCTCCGGGAACATGGGAGCTGAGTTTCAGATACCTGAGGGCTGTCATCCAGCAGAGGGAGTAGGTGACGACTGGCCTAGGGAGAGACCCTTATCAAGGCTACATTCGTTGATGGCCTTCTTTGTGTGAGGTGCTGCTATGACTACATTAAATTTCCACTTGCCTAAATCCAATTTTGTGCACTTGTTTTCTACTCTTGTAGGAAGGACAACAGCGACAACCTCAAACCAGTAATCTAGTCAAAGGAGCAATTCCCAAGGCACAACATGTAGGGAATGCAGATTCATCAGCACCCACAGAGACTACAGTGATTGCCGATAACGCCAACTTAATGCCTGGCCAGCAACATGGATCCTGACCTCCACTTTTCTTTTGTGTTTACAGAACCACAAAAAAGCCCATTGTTTTCATTCTTGTTGCTTGTTTCACAGGTCTACATAATCTACTTTTTAAAGTCAAAAACGGACTTAGTGCTGGACAATAAAAGTATAAACTCAGTACAGTGCATAGTATCTTTTTCATATACATATGAATATATATACGCTTTTACACATGTATGCATATGTATCATATGGGTCAAAACACTAGATGGAATGGAATTTTTTAATTGAAATAATTTCCAGTTATTAAGCATATCAGCTACCTTTAAAGTATTAATTTTACTGTATTTATATTAATTATTGAAGCTTGAACTTCAGAATAGTGGAGCATAAATGTTAAACATCGCAAGATTTCTCCTTTATTACTTCTTTAAATCAGAGAAAAGACATTTAAAGAGAAAATAGGAAGTATCTTCCCCACTCCACATAATTTATGAAGTCAATTATCATACCATAGACACCAAATAAAATCTGTGGGTCTCAAAACATTAGGAGCACTTCTTCTGTGGTCAGTTAAAGCACACACCCATATTGGTCATCCATTGAAACATATATTTTCCTAAGTAAATTCTCCACCATTATGAAAATCGGTGAAAAGATCACCTCATGTTACTTCTACACAAAACCAAGCAGCGCATGTGACTCTGCACGTTTCAGGGCATACGCATCCCTTCCCACTGGGGATCAATGTGCCCTATGGGAAGCAACTTCTTGCCTTTTAAACCAGATTCAGTAAACAAAAACTGTTTTGTATAGCTGACATAGGATCACATCTATTGCACGAAAAAGGTCAGTCTGTGGAAGGAAGGTTACAAAGTCAAACAGGGCACATTAAGGAGGCGTAACCAATCACATTGGATTTTCTGCTGTTAGAATTTTTTTCGGGTCAAAAATACAGGTACTAGGACTCCCTGAATCCAGCAGGTGTTAGAGGAAGGCAGAGGGCGGCCTCCTGCAAAGCATCTACCTTTGCCAGTTTCTAATCCAGGGTCCAGGAGCTGGAGCATCCGTGCTCCCTGTGCTTGCGCTTGGAAGCAGAAACGCCCTCAACCCTCACTTCTCACAAGGCCTCCGACCCACCTACCTGGGGCTCAGTCCGGGAGTCAGCGGCTGGAGGGAGCGGAGTTGCGCCCTGGAACACCGGGCAGGCGAGGAAGGAGAAAAGCCCAGCTGGCGGCTTAGAGGCGAGGGTCGTGCCTTTCCCAGCAGCCTCACCCCGGCCATCCTGACCCTGAGGGAAGGGGTCAGCCCAAACGCGCCCCGTCCACCTCTCCGCCTCCCGCCCCCGCACCGCGCCGCGCCCAAGTCCCCGCCCAGTGCCCGCGCCTCCGTGGAGCGCAGGCGACCTTGGTCCAGTCCCGCGGGGCCCCTCGTGCGCTGCAGAAGCATCAGTGGCCTCCGGGAGGCCACGGTCCCGCTGCGGCTCCCACCCTGGCGACCCTGGATTGCTCTCCCCATTCTCAGCCTCACCCCGCCACTCCTTCCACCCCATATTTTGCGGCCTCTAAGGACACGAACCATCTGCTGGCTGAAGTCGCTTGGACTGAACCCCGCCAAAGATTTTGGCAGCCGCATACTCCCTCCCAGGGAGGTGAGGGCGCCCGGCGAAGTGTGGGGTCTGCCGCCCCCTGCCGGCCTGGCTGACGTTCGCTTCTGTTTCCACGGGGCCCAGCAATGTTCCAAGTGCAACGTTTGGAAGGTAAGGTTGAGAATAAATGCTGTTTACAAATTCCAGAAAAGAAAAAAAAAAAAAAAAATGTTGCTCTTCTGTTTAGCAAAAGGTTTTCCCAGACAAGCCAGAACTTCTGTGGGTAATATTTAAATCTTAAGTGCATTCGAGCTGTTGCCTGCAGGCGCTGGTGTTACCCAAGCGGGGTAGTTTCAGGACAGTGTCTCTGAACACTCCAGGCTCTTGGATGAAGCAACCTTTCCACATTAAGTATGTAACATCATGTACTAGGTCCTACGATTTACCCGTCATGCAAAAGGAGCAAGTCTGCAAAACAGGGCTTTTAAAGAGTCTTTTCAGAAGGAAAAAAAATGTTGGAATAGCTGATTCGTTGCCTATTTGTTGTTGACTTTACATCAAAACTGATCCCCCGAAAGGTATTTATGGGTATTAACGATAAATAATGAAAAGGATCAAAATAGGAATGTTTCATTCAGTTTAACCTGGCCCATGCAGTGCACTTCAGGTCCTAGACTCTAGTTTGAACTCTGCGATTTCTACCATTCCTTGGCTTTGTTTGCTTCAGACTGATCAGAGTTCTGATCAGAGTTCTGTGAATACAGTAGGTGCTCGATAAATGCTTATTCTGATAACTGCCATTGATGCCTGTGGCAGTAACTGCAAACCGGCAGGCTCCCACAGCAATGAGGCATGGGGCTGGAGGGCCTGGCTCTGGCATCCAACCCTGCTCCATCCGCCACACTAGCCGTGTGACTTTGGGAAAGCTATGAACCTCTGCTGAACTCTCTATTAATAATGTGAGAGTGGTAGTAATAGCACCTCCCTTATAGGATTGGAGTGAGGAGTAAATGAAATAACCTGTGTAAAGGACCTAGTGTGGTACCTTGTGTTGTGTAAACTACTCATGGGACAGGGGACTAGTATCCAGAATATACAAGGAACTCAAACATCTCCACAGCAAAAAAATATATATATATTAAAATATGGGCAAATGATTTGAATTATCAAAAGAAGACATTACAAATGTGCAACAAGTGTATGAAAATGTGCTCAACGTCACTAATCCTCAGGGAAATACAAATCTAAACCACAATGAGCTATTGTCTCATCCCAATAGGATGACTATTGTCAGACAAAAAATAACACATGCTGGTGAGGATGCAGAAAAAAACGGGAACTTTTCTACACAGTTGGTGGGAATTTAAACTACTACTGTAATTCTGGAGAACAGTACGGAGGTTCCTCAAAAAACTACAAATATAAGTACCTTATGATCCAGCAATCTCACTACTGGGCATTTATCCAATGGAATGGAAATCATTGTATCAAAGAGTCATCGGCAGCCCCAGGTTTATTGCAGCACTAGTCACAATAGCCAAGATACGGAATCAACCTAGTTGTGGGACTACACATGAATGGACAAAGAAAATAAGGTATATACATACAATGGAATACTATTCAGCCATAAAAAATAATGGAATCCTATCGTTTGCAGCAACATGGATGAAACTAGAGGACAGCATGTTAAGTGAGCCAAGAACACAAAGGTAAACACTCACAAAGGTTCTCACTCATAATGTTGCCATAGGTGGCTATTAAGGTATGAGCAGGGCAGAAGAGAGCTTCCCCCACCACTGCCCCAAACATACACCAGGAGTGTTGCCAACCATCAGGTGATGGTCAGGATGGTTATTAACGGTCTCTCTAAAGTAATAATTGGTCACAGCTGGCACCAGTGAAAAGCAGTCTCCCAAGAGATAGAAAACACCTATCATCAGCAGCTTCCTGATAAGATCTCAGGAATTGGGCAAGTGGGGAGAAGGGACCTGAGACTTCGGAAGCATACCAATGTATAAAACCCCCAAGTCCAAAGGTCAAGGTGCACACTTGCCTTTCAAGTCACCCGCTTGGCCCTATTCCAAGTGTACTTTCCTTCCTTTCATTCCTGCTCTAAAGCTTTTTAATACACTTTCACTCCTGCTCTAAAAACTTGCCTCAGTCTCTGCTTCTGCCCCATGCCCCTCAGTCAAATTCATGCTTCTGAGGAAGCAAGAATTGAGGTTGCTGTAGACCCATATGGATTTGCCACTGGTAACAATATGCGGCAGCTAAAAAAGTTTATCTCAAAGAAGTAAAAAGTAGAACAGAGGACAGTAGAGGCCTGGAAGGGTGGGGAAAGGGAGAATAGGGAGAGCTCGGTTAAAGGCTACGAAATTACAGCTGGATAGCAGTAATATGTTCTAGTGTTCTATACCACGGTAGGATAAATATGGCTAACTTTATATATTATGAAGTTTCAAGCAACTAGAAAGAGCATATTGAATGTTTCCAACACAAATGAGTGATAAACTTTGAGATGATTGGTGGATATGCTAACTATCCCTCTTTGATCTCTATACATTGTATGCATTGAAATATCTCTGTGTACTCCATGAACATGTGCAGTTATTATTTGTCAATAATTTTTTTTATTTTGATCTCATAGAATTAGAGAGTAGAATGGTGGTTACCAGAGGATGAGGAGGGTAGTCAGGGAGAGGAGAATAGAGAGAGGTTCGTCAATGGGTACAAAGATCCAATTAGATAGAAAGAATAAGTTCTGCTGTTCTGTTACACACTAGGGTGACTATAGCTAATAATTATGTGTTGTACATTTCAAGATAACTAGAAGAGAGGATTTGGAATCTTCTAAGAAGAAAGGATAAATGTTTAAAGAGAGGGGTATGCTAATCACCCTGATTTGATCCTTATACAATGTATCCATGCATTGAAACATCACACTGTACCCCATAAATATGTACAATATGTGCCAATCATAAATAGAACTTCTAAAGGGAGTTTAGTACAGTGCCTAGCATATAGCGATTAACCAATCAAGTATAGCCATTATTATTATTATTCCTTCCTCCCAGTAGTAAATTACAGTGCAGTGGTTAAAAGTAATCACTTGAGACCTAGATATTTGCGTTGGAACCTGGCTCTCCCAATTTCCACTGATGTAACTATGGGCAAGCGAGTTTCAATGCTCTGATCTATAAAATGGTAACGACAATAACAGAGAAAAATCTGGTGATTATATCATGGTATGGATAATTCATAGTGCTGTTGGTGCCTGGCACAGATCCACAAACCTACAGTAAGTTATAGCTAGTAGTAAAATAAAAATTCTAAGCAAGTGTATTTAGATTAACCACCAATACTTAATTGTCCCCTGTGGTAATAATGTCTTTATCTATTTTCACCTTTCCATTTATTTACCTATCGGAAGATTGATTCCTAGAGGAAGGCTGAGTCCAGAGTGTCTGAACTCAGTGACAGCTTCCCACATGAAGGTCAAGGGTTGTCTGCAGCCCCGGTGGAATCCTGGTTGCCAACGTCTGTCCTTCCACTTAGAGCAGTTCTTGTGCAGTCTTTGATGCAAGGTAATTTTGGAAGAATTTCCTCAAGGACATTCAGTGGTGATGACTACTGATTGTGGTCTGGGTAGGTGGAAAGGATACTCGTAGGGACCAAATGCAGTGACCTTAGCTCCCATAGTTATTCATTATTAGAACTTGGTTTTCAAAGTAAGTCAAATGAAACTGAACAATGTTTGCAATAATCCATTACTGCTTGTGGGACAGGGAAGGGTTCTGGAAGGGACTGGGCTGGAGAACCCCGCGGGCTTGAGATAAGTTACGGGCTGGTGCTCCCTTGCCTATGGATTCTTTCAAAACAATATCCCTGCAACTTACTGAATTAGATGTCAGCTGGGTGGATTCTTTCTTCTCTGGCCACTCTTAAGGGACTCACGTACTGTTGGATTCAGAAAAGGGCTTCTACAAATTCAGGGACCCACCTTCCCTTACTGAGCTCTAACACTAAGAACCAGAGGACCAATGCTTTTATGAAGGTCAAATGACCTTTGAAAAGGGGGAACCTCCTTTTCTCCACAAATGACATTCTTTTCTTTTCCAAGGGGCCTGGGGCTCCCCAAGCTTGTGGCGCACCCTGCCTTCAGTGGCTCGTCATGGCCTTTGCGTTAAAATCCACAATATTTAGTAAGGCAGACTCCCCTCCCCCAGTCATCTGGCCTAGTCTAGTTTCCTCTCTCACGCCTCCCCCAGTGCTCCTCACCGGCTCATTTAGGTCTAATCAGGTGTCTTATTCAGTTTGGGCTGTCATCACAAAATACCATACTTGGGGTTTAGACACAGACATTTATCTCTCACAGGTCTGGAGGCTGAAAGTCCAAGATCAAGGTGTGGGCAGTTGCAGTGTCTGGTGAAATCTCTCCGCTTGGCTTTTAGATGGCCTGACTCCTCACTGCACCCTCACATGGCATCTCCTCTGCTTCTGTGAGGAGGGAAAGGGATGGTGTGTGTGTGTGTGTGTGTGTGTGTGTGTGTGTGTGTAGAGATGGCTCTCCTTATTGAGGCATGAATCCCATCATGGGAATTTCATCATGGCCTTCTGCCACATGAGGACACAGTAATAAGGGGTCACCAGATGCTGGCACTTTGACTGGGGACCTCACAGCCGCCAGAACTATGACACAGTCCATTTTTGTCCTCTATAGATTACCCAACCTGTGACATTTTGTTACAGCAACACAAACAGACTGAGACATATGGAGAGGCTTCTCTTCCCACCCCTGTAGTGACTCCTTCTTTGCTAAATTCAGTGAGCATTTTTCAGTCTCATCTTTGTGAAAGGACATTTTGCTGCAGTGGAGACTGGAGCTCAGATATTGCTGATGATCAGAGTTGGCGTGTCTCCCCAATTGATTTACAGTTGGTGCTTGGATACTGTTTTAAACTTGGGAGGAGCCTCCTAATCATCTCGATACAACCACTGATGTGACTACACTAGAGATAGACTCTTTCTACTTAATTCTACCCCTCTCGCTTTACTTCATGAGGATGAAAATATAATAATGCACCATGAATTCATTTAGGGAAGGATTGATATTTTATTTTATTTTTAAAAATATGTATTTATTTAAGCTACACCTACTGGAATGGGAAGGA